ATCAGTTTTGATAAATGGAAAATAAACTTATAAACTATTAAAAATGAAGAATTTTTATTAATATTATTATATTTTATTTAAATATTGATGCCAAGTTATTAGCGAATGTTTGTATTAAATTTAGAAATTTATCTACGAATTATTATGATTTAGTTAAATCTACTAATATTTAATAAAAAGTAATAACAGATCCTTTTATTTATTAAATCTTTGAACAAATGTTAATAAATAAAATTTCATTAAAAGTAGTATTAATTTTTCATAAAATAATAGCCAATTTGTCAATACTGTAAAGAATGATAATGATTACAAATATGTTAATAATTAATAATGATAAAATTTTATTTAATATGTCACAGCAAATTATTTATTTATAAACTTTTATGGTGCAATGTCTTAAAAACTACTTATAAAAAATTTTAAAATAATTAATTATTAAAATTAACTAAAAATGTATTTTAAATTATAAACATTAACTAATGAATGGTTATATTATAAAATATTATTTATAAAATTCAAAAGAAATATATGATTATAATAATCATTTTACATTCGAAACTGAAAAATTAAATGAGAGAATATATTATTAAAAATAATAAATTGAAAAATATTAAAATATTAGCTTATGTAAAAATTAATTTCAGATAAAAATTTATATTAAAGTTATTAAATAAGGAAAGATACTTTTAATTTAGATAAAATATAATAAATAGTACAATTTGAATAATCAAATTTTTTTTTAAATTTATTGATTTCAATACTTAAAAAAAAAAAAAAAATTTTTTTCATGAGAAAATTACTAGATTTATGATAAAATTTTTTAAATTAACACACATCATAGAATGGATGTGTGTATTTATTTATCATGGGGATGCAGCTATAATGAGGGGTGGCTCATATATATTGCAGGTTTTGCGATGTGGGTTAATTGTGTTTTAGAATCAATTTAATTACTTAGAATAGATAGATATAATGAGATGTTTTAGCTTAAATATACTTTGATAAGGTTAGATATTATTATTAATAAACACCTGAATTAAAATAGAATGAAGTAAAAGAGAGAGAGAGTATGGTTAACAGAAGAGAAGGACTACAATAAAACTATTAGAACCTTGATGCAGTAATCTCAGCCTCACATAATCATTCTTAATGTATCCTTTAACTAATGTAGCCATTGCTGCTTTGTAGAGTGGAAGAGATATTTTTTAATAGTGATAGGTTTGATATCAACAGATTCCTATTTTAGTGTCGCTAATGTAGGTAAACAAAATAGATTAGAGAGAATAACAAATCAAACTAAAAAATATATTACCTTAAGTTGATTGTTAAATTTAACAGATTAATACACTTTGATAAAGCAGAGCAAAAGTCTGATAAGCCTTATTAACTAATTTGTTTGAAGCTTTTAATATAATTAATTAACATAATATTTATTTCTTAATTAATTAATTATTTAAAAAGCCTCTATATATAAATTAGGAATATTAATTAATTAAATTTATCTTTCCATGAAAACTAAAATTATAAATAAGTAAACAATTATTTATTTATTTATTTAATTGTTTTTACCTAAAATCAAACTTTAGATTTGTGTGAGAGATAAATCAGAGTTTACAAACTTTTTAAAAAATAAAATATCATTTTAATGTTATTTAAGAAATAACTTCATTAATTAATTAATTACATCTTTTAAATTTTAAATTATATTTTAGTGTTAATTCATTTTTTTTAATTAATATTTCTTTTTCCAATTTAATAGAAAATTAATTTGATTTGTAATTAATTTTTAACATAAATTTTATAACTACTTACAACTGTACTTTTTTATAAAAAAACTGAAATTTTAAATTATCCCCTCCTTCCTTTACTTTACTTTGAAAGATAAATCAAAGGGTTTCATATTGAATTGAGTGAGGTTGTTGATTTAATAAATATTTATTTAATTTTCAAAATTATTTTTTAATATTAAAAGTGATTGATTTTTATTTATTTTATATTCTCATACTTATAATTAATATATTTAAAATTATAAATTGGAATCCATATACTTATAGCAGAATAATAAATAATTTTTAAATGTCAAATTAAAATTTAATTTCTATTCTAAAACTAAAAAAAATAAATTAAAATTTAAAAAATTATTTATTTATTTATTTTTAATTTTCTAAAGGAAATAAATTAGATTTACTTTTATATTTTTAATTTTATTATAGAAATAAATTAGATGGTTTCTTTTGTATTTTAATTAAATTAATAAATATAAAATAGTTGAGAATAAAAACTTTTATTTTTGATTATTTTCGAAGTTTGTATATTATCATAATTTTCTCAAATCTAAATGAATAGTGTATAAAATGTATAAATAAATAATTAATTAATTGAATTTTGTAATTGAAAATAATTAAATAAAAATGGGAAATACAATATACGGAATTGAAAATCAAAAAATATTTAAAAGCTTAAAAAATGTACTTTTAATATAGAAAAAAAATTATTTAAAGATTACTTTTATATTTAAAAAAGTTTCAAAGCTCATCGAGCTAGTCTCATACAAACATTTACTTAAAGTTTAAACTAAAAAAAGAAGAGAAACTCAAGTAAATCTACACTTTATTTAATAATTTTTATTTATTTATTTTCTACTTTTTTATTTTAAATTAATAAAAAAAAAGCTTGTTTAAGTTTAAATTTGAAACTGATATGTAAGTTTTGTGTTCAACTTTAGAAAAATGCATTAATCTTAAAATACTGATTCTTGAATTCGAGTAAAATTTTTTAAGCTTATTTTTCTAAATATATCCCAATAAAATAAATAAATAAATTTCCACAATTTATAAAAAATAAAATATTTTTTTCATTCATATTTTTTCCATTTTTTATAAAAATAAAAAAATTTTCTGAATTAACTTAAAAATTTAAAAAGTTGGAGCAAAATAGACAGTTAAAATGCAGAAAAGTTGGGCTTAGCTTTAACAAATTGCATAAATATTTGTATCCTGTCTATTGATCTTAAGTAATTACTTTTACCTGATTGTATTAATCGTATATTTCATTAAATTTTTAAAAAATTAAAAATGAAATTTTGTTTTTATTACTTCTAATGTTAAGCAAAATTTTTATTAATACATTTTATTTTGACCTTCTGTTTTAAAATATATTTGTTACTAACAAAAGTGGGAATTAGATTGGTGATGTAGGTGCCTCTAATTTATGCAAGGGATTGACAAAATTAACTCATCTCTCACAGTTAACTCTGAAGCTTAAGTAAAAAATTAACTTTAAAATTTTAAAAAATGAATTTTATTAAAAAAGATTTAAAACTAACTAATAAAGAATCAATTGATTAAATAAACAAATTTACTAATTAGATAATGATTTAATCAAATTTTTTATGAAAATTAAATACTTATTTATGATTAAGAATTTATATTAATTATATCTATTTTAAAGTGGAAATAATATAAGAAATGAAGGGGCGATAAAATTAGCTAAAGATATTTAAGCATGCTAAAGACTTTTAATAGTACAACTCTTTTTATAGTAAAACAAATTATATTATATTTAAAAATAAAAAAAGTAATCCTGAGAAAATAATCTTAAATTAAAAACATATGATTAAAATAATTTATTGATTTTATATTAATTTAATAAATTAATTAAGTTTAAACAAATTAATTACTATTTTACTTTATTTTTTATGAGAAATTCATTTATTTATTTATCTATAAAATTTACAAATAGTCGAAACTATATCTCAGTTTATTAACTAAATAATATATTGGGTAAGAGCAAGAGATTAGTCAAAAAGTATGTAATAACTTATTGAGTATAAATCGATACTATTTATTTCATATTGAATAAGCTGCTAAAAAAATAAAAAGCAAATATTTGAATTTAGTACTAAATAATGAAATAATTACAATAAATAAATATATATATATATATGTATAGATAGATGTTTGTTTTTTACATATTTTATATTAGTTATTTATATTTTCAATTTTTTAAGTATTATAAAATTAATCTTTTATTTCATTTATAAAAATATTAAGCAAAAATCATTTATTTAGTTATTGCTTTTTTGCTTTTATACTATTTTTAGCACAATTTTTTTATATTCTTTGACTGACGAATGTATTTATAGGTAAGTTATCTTCAAAACTTAAATATTTTTTCAATGTAAATTTTATTATATATATATAAAGTGTAATAATTTTCTAACAAAATAATATGAAAATTTCTTTAAAAAATGTTAATAAGCATTTATGTGAATAATTGATTAGCACATTTAAGAATGATTTATTGTTTATCTTAAAATTATATAAAACATCTTTATTGTGTTGAGTAGTTTTCTCATTCAATATAAATATTTTATTTTCATGAATATTAATTAAAAGAAGTAAATAAAATATAATTTATGCAAATATAAATTAAAAAGAGAGTTAGTTAATTGTTTTTAATTTATTTTAATTAATACAATACATATTTATTTTGTATAAAATTACTCGTAAACAACCATATTATAATATAATATTTAGCTATATAATTAGATTCCAGGCTTTAAGCTTAATTTCATTCATATTTGTTCAGATTAAGCTACTATTTATTTTTTATAATAAATATATTTGTAACATTATAATTTTAATTAAAAATGTAGAATTTATTCAAAAATAATTTAATATAGTTAGTTAGTTATATACTTATGAGATTGGCTGGTATCTACTCTAATAGAATTTGTTTGCTCATCTGTTGAAAAATGTCCTTCGTTATCTAATTCTGTTTCAGACTGGTTATTTTCCTACTCACTATATTCTTATTTATATCTTTCTATTTCTTCTTAACGCTCTTACTCCATTTATTCATATTCTTCTTCTTCATCAGTAGGTTCATGTTCATATTCACAATTATCATAAAAAACACAAAAATTTCTACTTACTAATCTTTGTATTTTATATACTTGATACTATAGCTTTTCTATATAAGTTTCTTCCAAATCGTATTTCCTATAAAATCTAATGAAATTTTTCAAAACAAATATAAAATAACTGCTAGCAACAAATTAATTTTTTATGAATTTATTTTTTGCTTGTTTTCTTTAAAGTTAAAATAAAATTTTAAAAGCTTACTGTATTTGAAGATTCAATACTCTGAGTTTGACCATTTATGATATTCCTGAAATTAAATTTTATGCACCCTTTTCACCAATTCTATTCCCACTTTTAATATTAGAAAAATAATTTTAGTTAAAATCAAAAAATATGATGAGCAGTTAAGTTAGTTGCTGTTTATGAATATCTTTTAATTGTAATTATAATAAAATTAATATTTAAAAACTGAAAAAGTATTTATTTGTAAGTAAATAAGTAAGTAAGTAGTTTGGCATTTTAAAGACAAGTTGAAAATTGGCTATTTATCTAAATGAGTGAGTTGTAGTAAATAAGCAAATTAATTAACTAAATTTACAATAAGTCAATTTAAAGATTCAAAATCTTATTGCACTAAGCTAATCCTTAGCCTAGACCTGATACTCCCTTATCACCAATTTTATTGCATCTTTTTAGAATATTATGAATATTAAAATATAAGAATAAATTAAAAAGATAGATAAAATATATTTTATATGTTATTAAGAAGATAGGAATAAATTTTTAATTCAAATAAGATTACGATAAGGAAAGAGTTAAATTTTACAGATTTTAGCATTTTGCTAATCCTGATCCTAAATCTAGTGCAGTCTAATCATTCATCTTACTATCGCTTTTTTTAATAAATTGATTAATTGTTAAATATAATAAAATGCTCATTAGTTTATTTTAAGAAAGACTCTTCTTGCATTTGAATTAATTAAATAGTTTAATTAAAATCAATATAATTTAAAATTGTTTCACTTCAAATAAATTAAATTAAAATATAATAATTTATAAACAAAATTTACCTAAAATCAAGTTCAAAGGTTTAAAGGTTAACTAACTAAGAATTTATAAACAAAATTTACCTAAAATCAAGTTCAAAGGTTTAAAGGTTAACTAACTAAGACAAACAAAAGAATATGTCTGATGCACCAGGATTTACTTATTTATTAGACCTTTTACATTAAATAACATATTGTTTTTATTATTAAATAAGCAAATATTAATTAATAATATATTTTTAATTATTTTAAATATTTAATCATTTTTTTTATTTGATTAAGACATACTAATGTATTTTTTATATAATAAATTTATCATCAAAAATATAGTTTGTTTATTTGTTTGTTTTAATAAAATTAATATTATTTAATAATTTAAACATTTTAATAAAAATAAATTATTCTTTTCTTATATTTAAATTTAAAAAGCTAAAAATATTAAGCAAATATAAATAAATTTTAAGAGATGTAATTTATTTAAAAGTAATTAGAAATAAATAAAAAAGTCAATTTACCACATGTATAGCTATAAATTTTACAGATTAGTTAATTTAACTAATCCAAGACTTAGGTCTGAGGAGTCTTTATTGTCGAAGAAGTTAGTTCTTTTAAAATTTAAACAAACAAACAAAAGATAAAGTTTATCGAAATTAAGCAAACATGCTCAGTAATAAAATTTGATTACATTAACTAAAAAGTTTTAAGATTAGCACATTTTGATAATCCAGAGCAAAGATTCTAAGCACTATCACTGCTTAGTTTTTGCCATCTATTTATTTTAAAAATTTTATTATAAAATACAAACAATAAATCATATAGCAATAAAAACAATTCATATTAAAATAATAAATAAAATTAATAAATAAATTTACCCAAAATAAAGTTATAAACCAGAGAGATTCCTGCATTTGCCTAATTCATTTCCTAAAGATGAGGCACCTTTATCAGTAATTGTATAAGATCTTTATAATATATTTTGTTCATTAAATAACATGCAAAATTAAAAGTATTATCTTAGTTAATAACTTAGTAAATAAATAAGTAAGTAAGTAAGTAAGTAAGTAAGTAAGTAAGTAAGTAAGTAAGTAAGTAATTAAGTAAGTAAGTAAGTAAGTAAGTAAGTAATCAAGGAAACGAGTCAGTAAATTAATAGAAGGTAAATAAATAAATATTTTTATTTTATATCTAAATCTTTATGAAAAAGCAAAAAATAATTAAACAAATTTACTTCAAACCAAGTAGTAATTTAACCAATTAGCTACATTTAGCTAACGAGCAACCTAAATTTATTATACCCTGATCACCGATTTTATTATTTCTTTAAAAAGTAAATTCAAATAAAAAAAATATTTTTATAAAGTCAAAAATAAATTCAAAATATTTAATTTGTTTTATATAACTTTTTTCTTAATTTAAAATGAAGAGTAATCTTTTTAAAATATATAATTTACGTTAAATAGAGAGTTAAATCTTTAAGGTTTGGAAATTTTTATAACTAAAGACCAATTTTTGATGCTCCATGATCATTAATTATATTTAAACTAATTTATTAAATTTATTTATTAGTTATTAAATTAATATTTTTTATGATTTTATAAAAATAACATTAAAAAAGTTATTTAATGCTTTAAAAAGCGTAAATAATAATTAAAAAAATTGAAATAAGTTTAAATAAAATTACTTCAATCCAAGATTAAGAGATGAGATCTAAGTACATTTTGTTAAGCTTGAAAGTAGATTTATGGCTCCTTTATTAGTTATTTTATTTTAGCTGTTGAAATTAATTTATTTATTATGTTATTTTTTCATATAAAAAATATTTATTAATTTTGACAAAATAAATTAAAAATTAATTTTTTCTCTTTAAGTTTTTTTAAAAGGTTTTAATTAGTTTTTTAAAAATATCTTAAATTTACTTTAATGAAAGCATCAGATTTTTAAGATTTGTTAACTCTGATATATAAGAACCTAATTCAGAAACTCCTATATCCCCAATTTAATTATTACTTTAATTAGAAGATAAACCAATCAAATTAATAAAAAATATTAATTTTAAATAAAAAAATTTTTATTAAATAATGTTTATAATTTGAAAAAGATTATTGTTTACTCAAGATGAAGTTCCAAAGAAGTCAAATTAATTAGTTTAGATAATTTAGAACTTAAGTCTGAAGCAGATAAATGATTAATTTTGCTTATGCTTTTCATAAAAATTTAAATTATTCATAAAGCTTTTAACTCAAAATACTAAAAAGAGTAAAATTAAAATTTGAAAGTATGCAAAAAAAAAAATTACATTAAATTTAATGTTAAATTGGTAAGTTTAGAACAATTTTGAAGTGAAGAGCCTAAATAAGATATACTCCGGCTATCGATTTTACTTAAACTTTTAATTGATAAAATTATAGTTTTGCAAAGAAGAAAAATATTTTTTTAATTTAGCCAAAGAAATTGTTTAAAAAATTGACATAGTATATTAAAATGAATTTACGATAAATCAAGATCTAAAGTTTAAAGATTAGGCAATTATGTAAATCCTGAGCATAAATCCTTTGTAAATGACAAATCAATTAAATTATTACTTTTAATATAATTAATATATTATTCTTTTTAAACACAAAAAATATTTCTAAATTAATTTAAAAAAGTAAAAGATAATCATGATTTATTTTTTAAGTGAATCATTTGAATAAGAAAACAAAATAAACAAAATTTACTTAAGGTTGAGCTTTAGAGTTTAAATATTTTTGCATTCTGCTAATTCAGGGCCAATTTCTACACATTTAAAAGCTTTTTCACCAATCAAATTTTTTCTTTTTAATGAAAATAAATAATTATTTTTTAAATTAAAGAAAAATTAATTAATTTATTTATAATAAATTGAAGTTAAAAGATTAAAGAACAATAAATTTATATTTTTTGTTTCAAATAAAAAGTGAAAATATGAACCAAACAAGAAAAATTAAGTAAAAGTGTCTATTTATTTATTTATTTATTTATTTATTCATTAAAAATTTAAAAATGGAATATTACTATAAATTTAGTTCTAAGTATGAGAGATTCGAACATTTTGACAGCGCAGATAATAAATTTGAAACCTTTTGGCTATCTATCCTATTGTATCTTTTTATTATTTATACCAAAAAAATTAACAGCCAAAATTAATTCAAAAATTTAAAAATTTAAAAAAATAAGCATATTAATTGATGTAGAGTAAAAATGAAGCTTTTTTTTATAGATTCTACTTATAAAAAAGTTTTAAATTTATGAATTGATGAAATTACGATAAATTTAGAATTAATGTTTAGAGTTTTTAACTTTTCGATAACTCAGATAATAATAAAGTCATATCTTGTTCACTATAGGAACTAGCACTTTTTAAATAAAATAAATATTTTCAAAAGATATTTTAAAAGAAGAAAATGATTAAATAAATTAGAAATTAAATAATTAAAAGCAATAAAGGCAGGCTTAATAAATTACTCTAAATTTAGATGGATATATTTAGAAAAGGAGGAATTCATAATCTATAATTAGTTAGATAAAAGTGTATTAATTAACATTTTATATCTAATATTTTTTAAAATTTAATGTACCTCATCAATATTTCTAAACAAGCAAGAGTGTTATTTTATCATTTATTTTTTCAGTTTTTGGTTTTTATTTACAAAACAATTTTTAATTTATTAATAAATTATGTCAAAATCAATATACCTATTTATTTAACTTTTTGAAGCACAGAAATTAAATTAAATTATTTTTATTTAATAATTAGTATTTATTTTATTATGTTTTTCTCATAAGTATTTATTTATTAAATTATCTAATAATTTATTTATTAGCTGTAGAAAAAGATCTAAAATTTTTTTAATTTATTTTAGAATTCATCCTAATAATTTACTTCAAAA